TAATTCAACACTTTACTATTCTGGCCATTTTTACTCAGAAATATCACCAATTTCAGGAGACTCACTTTCTACTGGTTAACTGTTAACAACTGAAGTCATGAAATACAGCACTTGGCTCATAAAAACCCCCTGGATGAATCAAAAAGAGACACACATCCTGCAATACATAAAGCAATGGGAAAATAATTTTAAAACTACCTAAAGATCCTGATCCTAAATACATCAGCGTTCCTTTATTTGCAGCAGTAGCCTGATGGGGAACAGACAGCTGCTGAAGCAACGGTGAGGACTTGCAGGCTGTTGCAAAATTGTTTACAAGTTCATTTAGTATAAAAGCTAGCCACACATATTTTTTATTATTAGTACAAGCTGCAGATAAACATCAGGGTTGCATATTGTCACATTTTTATTATATAAGTGCTAAGATCAGCAGCTACAGTGTTTCTCATTATCTCAAACAAATTACAATAGTTTGTTTGGGTGTAAATCATGTGCCCAGCATATTGTGATCACAAAGGATAGGGTAGAAGACATTTACTGACTACGAGGCTCACAAAGTAGAACACTCAGATGAATTCTACATCAAAATCTCTTGATTTATAAACTTCATCTCACAATATTTATATATTATGAATAATTCCATAGTGTTGTTGTATACTAGCTATTCATATACTGGTTAGAAGTTTTCCAGTCACAAAAGGCATTACTCACTGAATACATGCTACAAAGCCAGAAAGTTAAAAGTTTTCAGAATAATTAATCCAGGTTCATAGATATAAAGTATTTCCCCACCCCTTCTATGCATGTTAAATGGTAAAGCAAGGAGTCTAATCTCAATCAGTAGCTAATGGTGGCTAAGAGACTTGAAGTATAAGTGTGGAAGGATGCAGACCTACTGTCTATTATGCAGTTGTCTGAAGACCTTATTGCCATGGCTACATTCAAAAATATGTGCATCAATCTTGTGTGGATACCTATTTGAAAATCTGAAGGACTTATACTTACAGTGGTGCCTCGCAAGACGAAATTAATTCGTTCCGCAAGTTTTTTCTTCTTGCGAGTTTTTCGTCTTGCGATGCACGGTTTCCCATAGGAATGCATTGAAAATCAATTAATGCGTTCCTATGGAAACCGACTTCGGACCAGGTCCGGGGACAGTCTGTCCCCCGACCTCTTCTGAAGGCTGGGGGGGGGGGGACAAGGGCTTTTCTTCCCACCCACCCCCAGCATTTTAAAAAACCCCGGGACAGCGGAGGACTTCTCCGCTGTCCGGGGCGATCTTAAAATGCTGGCAGGCGGCATTTTAAAATCGCCCCGGGACAGCGGAGGACTTCTCCGCTGTCCGGGGCGATTTAAAAGCCCCTGGGAAGGCAGGCAGGGGGGACAAAGACTTTTGCCCCCCGCCAGCCTTCAGAAGAGGTCCAGGACCTCTTCTGAAGGCGGGCGGGGAGCGAAAGTCTTTGCTCCCCCGCCTGCCTTCAAAAGCCGTCGGGGACAGGAAAGCCAGGAGAAGCCGTGCAGCCCTTTTAAAGTGCGCGCGGCTTCTGCCGGTTTTGCGGGAGGTGGGGGAATTCCCCCACCTCCCAGAAAAGCCAGGAAAGCCCTGCGCAGTGTCTCCCGGCAAGGAGAGGCTGCACGGGGCTAAAGGGGAAGGCAAAACAGCGAGCGGGATCCATCCCGCTCGCTGCCTTGCCTTCTTCCATAGCTGCGCGCAACCCCTCCGCAAGGAGAGGCTGCGCGGGGCTAAAGGGGAAGGCAAAACAGCGAGCTGGATCCATCCCGCTCGCTGCCTTGCCTTCTTCCATAGCTGCGCGCAACCCCTCCGCAAGGAGAGGCTGCGGGGGGTCCCGCTCGCTGCCTTGCCTTCTTCCATAGCTGCGCGCAACCCCTCCGCAAGGAGAGGCTGCGCGGGGCTAAAGGGGAAGGCAAAACAGTGAGCGGGATCCATCCCACTCGCTGCCTTGCCTTCTTCCATAGCTGCGCGCAACCCCTCCGCAAGGAGAGGCTGCACGTTTCTCCGCTCTCCCGGGAAGGCAGGCAGGGGGGAGCAAAGACTTTCGCCCCCCGCCCGCCTTCAGAAGAGGTCCAGGACCTCTTCTGAAGGCAGGCGGGGGGCGAAAGTCTTTGCTCCCCCCCCCCGCCTGCCTTCAAAAGCCCTCCGGGACAGCGGAGAACAGGAAGGCAGGCAGGGGGGAACAAAGACTTTCGCCCCCCGCCTGCCTTCAGAAGACCTCCAGGACCTCTTCTGAAGGCGGGAGGGGGGCGAAAGTCTTTGCTCCCCCCGCCTGCCGGGTTTTTTTAAAATGCTGCTGGGCGGCATCGCTGCCACCCGGCAGCATTTTAAAATCGCCCCAGACAGCGGAGAAGTCCCCCGCTGTCCCGGGGTTTTTAAAAAACCTCTCCGCCCCACGCCAGGCTTCGGAGCAGCCTTCCGAAGCCTGGCGGCGGGAGGAGGTCCGAGGACAGTGGGGAAGACGCGCTGCGCTTCCCCGCTGTCCCGGAGATTTCCCTATGGGCTTTCGTCTTGCGAAGGAAGCCCATAGGGAAATTCGTTTTGCGAAGCGCCTCCAAAACGGAAAACCCTTTCGTCTAGCGGGTTTTCCGTCTTGCGAGGCGTTCGTCTTGCGGGGCACCACTGTACTTATATGTTTAATTTAAGACCCATGTACTGATGGTCATGGTATTCATAGATGATGCTGATTTGATTTACTGTTGTTATCTGTATTATTACTATTATTTGCATATTATATTTTATCTTTATTTTTTTCTTCTCTTTAATTCAGTTTTCCCTTTTTTCTTGGTAAACATGCGAATAAAATAATAATAACATAATCAAGTAAGATAGAGGGACAGTTAATTCAAGCCAAGCGCAGCAGTGTTATTTTATCTCTGCAACACAGGAGGTTCCCCCGTTTTTCAGGGGATAATACCGGATGTCTGGCATTAAATGGAGAAGGGAATGGAGAAGGGAAAAAATAGCATGTATTGATGGCAAAAAGACTAGGGAAGGGTCCATATTACAGAAATCTCCAACAGCAGCACTGGATGTACTACTAATTTATGAAAACTTGAAGAGGCAGAATTATTGTTGATATTAATTTAACCACAACAGCAATTTCAATATTTAACATTCTGCACTATGCAGCACTTAGGAGAGGGTATATATATGGGACAAACATAAGGACAATGACCAACTAATAGGAAATTGTACAAGTGATTAAGGTGGACTTAAATATCACAGGTGGTATCAAAACATAGTGAGGCGAAGAACAAGGGAGAAAGGAAGGAAAACAACAAAGCAGTAATTAATTCCTAAAACGATGCTCCTGGCATGTGAAAATCACACAGTGAATTCCTTTCCGCTTATTTCCAAATAGGTGCTTGTGTTTATGTCAGAAGAGACTTTCATCACATGTTCAGAGACACTTTCTTTTTCTCCACCGTAACACCACATGTTCCATCGATAAAACAAGCTGTGGGATGTGAGATGTAGAACTGATTTTGCTTACATGATCTAACAACATTTTTGAGGGGTGGGGTTTTTTTTGTAAATAATTCAAAAACGTATTAAACAAAAGAAAACAGGTTCTGAATTTAAACACTTGTTATGTCTCTTATCTTATACAGCTTTTGCATTGGTGGTTCAGTGGTAGAATTCTCAGCTGCCACACAGCTTTTGTTTTTGTTTTTATAACAATATTTATTAAAGTTTTTAAACATTCAAAGCACCAAACACATATAAAACCATCACCATTATACATTAAACAAACATAAAATAAAAAGAAAACACACAAAGATAACTAAAAAGATAACAAAACAACAGCAAAATCAAATAGTTCATAACCATATTTTCTTTCTCTTGGACCTCCTCACATCTCCCGTTCCTGCGTTCCCAATTTCTAGAGTTATAAACAGCAAGTTATGACCTTATTTCATATCTTATTTTATAATTTTCCAATACTATGTCTGTGAATATAAATATCTTTTCCTGAACTTAAATACTTAATTTAAACATAATATTAATCTTTAAATTTTTATTCTTCTGAGATTTCACTTATTCTCATATTTCTCTTCACCTTATTTACTGATGCCCTGTTGTTTTCATTCCTGCACCTTTTTTAGCACTCATATAGTTTACAATGTTTTTGTAGATAATTTTTTCCAATCCTCTTCCACTGCTTCTTCTCCCAAGTCTCGGATTCTGAGCTGCCACACAGCTTTTGATCAGCAGTCCTGAGCAAGGACTCAACCTTCTCCACATTCCTATTATTATTATTATCAGTGCTTTTATCGGGGGGGGGGGGACGCAGGGGAAGGCATACCCCTAAACATTTTGTGAATCTTTGTCCTTTTCTCCATTTGCTGTGTTTATTTCCCCCCCAATTTGAACTAAAAATGGTGATTTTCTTGAGTCAAAATGAGAGGACCCCTAAACACTTTTTATTTTTTTAGAAATAAGCACTGATTCTTATATACCGCCCTTCATCCAAAGATCACAGGCGGCTTACAACACACAAACACACACACACACACACACATACAAACCCCACATAGCATAATAACGAACATTCCTAGGCAGAAACCTTAAGAATCCATCTTTCCCCCATGTCCAACCTATGTTTGCCCCTCAGAGGGATGGATGACTGGGGGGGCGGGGGGGGGAGGGAGGCAGCGAGGAGGAGGGTGGGGGAAAATGATTGCTATAAACGAAAATTAATAATGAAATCTTAAATGTGGCCATTCATATTGTATAAATAAAATTGTAAATAGAAAACAACAAATAAACAAACAAATAGAAAAGAATATTAAATATATATACCAACACACAGGAGCTGCAGGGGGGAAGGTGGAGCATATATTAAACTCATAAACAAAGGGGGCTGGCGGGGTGTGTGTGTTGAACCCTAGATATCTCCCCCCCCCACTTTGACACACACAGGGAGGCAGAAGGGTCGCGCGGGTGGGGCGCGTGGAAACGGGAGAGAAGCGAACGGCTCTACCTCCTTCTTCTTCTGGCCTCCCCCGAACTGGACACAAAGGAGGAAGAGGAGGAGGAGGGGGGGAAGGAGGCTGCTCCCCACAGGCAGGTGCGGCGCGAGGCGCCGTGACGGGGCCATGGCTTCCAACGGGCGCCGGCGCGTCAGTCTCCGCCACAAACACCTGGGAAACGCCGTTATCCACGCCGTTCTCCTCCGCGCCGATTGGGCCCCGAGGAGCACCAATCCAAAAGCGAGCCTGCTACTGGGCAAAGCCTTCTGGGAAATGTAGTCCGTTCCATTCCGTTCCGTGGCGGTGGTTCTCAAAGGGTGCGGAGCGCCGCGCAGGTGCGGCAGGAGAGGATGGCAGGTGTGGCGGGACACGCTCAAAGAAGCGTTTAAACATTTCTGTGTACTGTACTATACTATACTATACTATACTATACTATACTATACTATACTATACTATACTATACTATACATGCGTATGTGTGTGTATGTGTGTTTTTCTCTCTGTGTGTGTATATGTATACATATATGTGTATACTGTATATATATGTGTGTGTGTGTGTGTGTGTGTCTATTATACACACACACACAAAAACACACACACACATATATATATACAGTCATACCTCATGTTATGTTTGCTTCATGTTACGTTTTTTCAGGTTGCATCCCATGCCGACCCGGAAGTACCGGAAAGGGTTACTTCCGGGTTTTGCCGCTCGCGCATGCGCAGACACGCCAAATGACATCACACACATGTGCAGAAGTGGCAAGTCGCAACCCGCGCATGCGCAGACGCGCCACTGTGGGTTGCGTTCTTTTCATGTTGCGAACAGGCCTCTGGAACGGATCCCGTTCACAACCAGAGGTATCACACACTTACACACATATATATTCGCAAAATGTGGAATAGGCATCTTTTAAAAATCAAGCACTGCTAGGAGTTGTTGCTTTTTGTTTCCCAATGTATTTCTTATCGATAAAAAATTTAGTGCGGCATGTGCATATATTTTTAAAATTATTATTATTAAATATGTTTTTGTTACTAATTTTATTATTTATACCCCGCCCATCTTGCTGGGTTTACCCAGCCACTCTGGACGGCTTCCAGCACATATAAAAACTTAATAAAACTTCAGACATTAAAAACTTCCTGATACAGGAATACCTTCAGATGTCTTCTAAAATATTCCTGATCATAAAGCGATCGCCACTAAGAAACCTGGTTCTTTGCTTGCTTGCTTTAGCGTAAGTCCCACTTTATTCAATGGGACTTAACACCTGCAAGCAAGGGAGCAACCTGGATAGCAGCCTTAATTAAGAAGTTTGTTGTTTTGACTAAGCCCCCTTTCCCTACATAGGAAAACAAATGTACACAGTGATATGAAGCTGAGAAAATATCGGTAGCTTGCCTTTAATGTGAGGTAGAGAGAAGTGTGTGTGTGCTTTAGCATTCTGTGCAACTTAAAACACACTATTTGATACATGTCCACTCAGAAGTAAGTCGAGTTGAGTTCAGAGGTCCTTAAAGGTAAAGGCAAAGGGACCCCTGACCATTCGGTCCAGTCATGGACGACTCTGATGTTGCGGCACTCTTCTCGCTTTATTGGCCGAGGGAGCCGGCGTACAGCTTCCGGGTCATGTGGCCAGCATGACTAAGCCGCTTCTGGCGAACCAGAGCAGCGCACGGAAACACCATTTACCTTCCCGCCAGAAGGTAACCTGGAAACACCATTTACCTTCCCTATTTATCTACTTGCACTTTGACGTGCTTTCGAACTGCTAGGTTGGCAGGAGCAGGGACTGAGCAACGGGAGCTCACCCTGTTGCAGGGATTCGAACCGCCAACCTTCTGATTGGCAAGCCCTAGGCTCTGTGGTTTAACCCACAGCACCACCCGCATCCTTACTCTGAAGTAAATGGATATTGGGCTGCTACGTATATAGTATATGACTACCTTTATCTAGCCCCCATACATTACATTTAGTATCCTAGAATCATATAAAGGTAGGGTGGGAAGGGACCATGAGGAACATCTAGTTCAACCCCCTACAATGCAGGAATCTGTCCCCAATGTGTATCTCAAACCCATGACCTTGAGATTAAGAGTCTCATACTCTACCGACTGAGATAAGAATAATGACAATGTCACCAACAGTATCGGAGGTGATTGCAGATTTCTATGCCTTTAAAAGCTGGCCAGCAGACAGAAATATAGCAAATTTAGACACACACCCCCTTCCAGAAATAAAGCTTTGTAGGCTAATTTTCTGCCTATGAAATAGTTTTTGAGTGCACAAAAATCTTGCCATAAGAAGGTTCACGGCCAATTCTCATAACCAAATTAAAGAAGGATCCTGGAATTTATTGCTGGTTTGTTTGTTTAAATTAAATAAGGTTAAAGCTTGTCATGATTAAGATAAATGAGCAATGGATGTGCTATTAAAATATTATTCTCTTTACTCGAAACAGAAACTAGCGATAATAAATGTGATGGTTGGGATATCCTATGCAGCACAATCCAGTGCATGTCTATTCAGAGGTAAGTGCTATTAAATTCAATGGGACATTCTCTTAGATAAGTGTGTACAGTGGAACCTTGGGTTACGTACCACCCTCCTTATGAACGCTTCAGGTAACGAGCGCCGCTAACCTGGATGTAGATGCCCCTGGTAGCAAACTTTGCCCTGGGATGCGAGCGGAAGTTGCGCGCCAGCGGCACAGTACCAGCAGGAGGCCCCATTAGCGAAAGCACGCCTCAGGTTAAGAACAGTTTTGGGTTAAGAACGGACCTCTGGAACGAATTAAGTGCATAACCGGAGGTAGCACTGTATAGGATTTCAGGCTTTAACTCTTACCCAACAAAAATTTCACAAGCTTCAGTATGTAATTATTTAGAAAACGCAACATTTTGTTGTTGTTATTGTCAAGACTATGTTCTTGCTAGGGCAGTCTGATATATAAAGAGAACTGGCATATTACACCAGGGGCGATTCTTCCAAAGCAGCTCTTTATTGTAAGCTGGAACAGAACTAACTGAGGAGCTCAGTCAGCCTGCTTATATAGAGCTCCAGAACAATGTAACTGTTGCCATTTTCTAAAACTATCCAATCACTGAACGTCACTTTTCGATCCTTCATTTGCATAACTATCTACAGTATCCCCCTGCTGGCCCAGGGTGAGAACATCAGTACATAACATTGTTGTTGTTATTTTACACCCAGCCACCCTGGGCAGCTTCCAGCAAAATATAAAAACATAATAAAATGTCAAACATTGTTCCATGTTCTGTGGAATACTGTCTCCATGCTTGAACGTTCTACTAACCTACCATGGCTAATAGTTACAGGTAGACCTAACCTGCACTAATTTATCTAAACCCCTTTTAAAGCCATCACTACATCTTGTGGCAATAAATTCCATAATGGCTGGTTTCCTTTTGTCACAGAATTGTTCTATGATTTTGCCTCTCCTGAATCTACTGCTTATCAGTTTAAATGAATTACACGGAATTACTAATATTGTCTACTTTTCTGCATCATACAATACATAGTTTTTCAAATGCCTACCGTGAGCCCCAGTCATTTCCCCCTTTCCCTCAGACCATTCCCCCTTTGCCCCTGACCACATCCATTTTGCCTCAGAAGCTTGGACAGGTGGAAATCTGACTCATGGGCTGTAAATGGTTCTCTCTGTGCCCTAATCTAAAAAGATCAAAACTCTTGACTCTTTGTTCTTAGGGAAACTGCCCCCTCCCCAATTCTTTGATTAATTTGGTTGACCTTTTCTTCATCTTTCGCACCTCTGTAGAACTTTTTCTGAGATAGGGCCCTGTTTCGACATAAGACCTCCAGTCGTAATAGATTGTTCTGAGATTACCTGTCTGGTTACTCTGAATAGGTCTACTCTTATGGTTTTACTTGGGGTCGCGACAGCAGTACTTAAAAAATGAGTGTCAAATCCCTGCAAAATAAACATATAATAATAATAGCCTGCCTTCCTACAATACCTGAAATTGAAACAACAAAGCTACAGATAAAATAAACGGTAAAATAATAAAACTGCAAACATATAAAAATATGTAATGTTTAACTAGAAGCACACTGGAATAAAGCATCTGGGTTGGACTAGGCATGTTGCCCTGAGTAGGGTGTTCCATAATCTGGATATTGTAACTGAAAAGCCCCTCTCTCTTGACTCCACTTGCCACTCCTCATGCAAAATTGGGTCCCACAAAGTTCTCAAATCATTTCTCATGAGTGGAGACAGTGCCCAACATGCCCTGGTGCCATACCTTGACTTTCAAGGTCAAAACCAACAGCAAGTTGTCACTAGTCAACCGGGTAAAGGATTGAAGTAATGTATTCAGATCTTTGGGCTTCAGCCAACCCCCGGCATCCACATTCTGAAACAAGTGAATTGTCTGAATTGTCTTCATAGGCAGCTCAGCATAGAATGAATTACAGTAACCCAACCTAGAGGTGACTAGGGCATGAATGACTGAGGTCGAGTCAAAATAACTTTAATGATCCTTTAATGGTTTTTATGTTCTCTTCAATAGGAAATCTAGCTCCAGGGTGATGGGACTGATACCATTGCTCAGTGCAAGGAAACAGGAGTTTTATGGTTTGATTAAAGAAGCTGAGAGTTTAACAGGGAGGGGTAAAGTCTGGTAGAAGATGTACTGTCTCTAGATCCAATTCAGAATTATTGAAGGAGTTCTCATTTGATTCAGCTATGCTGTACTTACGTATTTATAATTAAAGTTGAGATTACAGTATGACTGGTAATCTAGACATACACAAGAACTTTTAAAAAACAAAATTCTCGTTGTCAAACTGTTAAGCCATGAAAAACAACCGGAAGGAACTAAAGTAATACGTACCCCACTTTTATATGTCTTTAGAGCAAGTGGAATATGGGGTTATTTTATTTTAGCATTTTGTTTGTTAATATCAACTGAGCTTTTATGGCAATGCAAATTGCTTACAGGCAAAGCCTTCCTTCATTTATCCACTCACATTCACAACATTTCAGGCCCTGTGGGTAGTATCCCCAGCTTCATGTAAATTGGGCAAGCTGTGCATCAGTGCTTTAAATATATGTAGCCATGATGTTTAAAACTAGACAATCGACTGAACCAATCTGACAGCTG